CTCAGGGTATAATAGTACTTTTCTGCCCTTGAGACTATTACTTTAGAGACCACAACACATCCAGACCCCATGGTCTCCCAGGAATGTTGATTATTTTGAAAACAAGCCTTAAAAAGACCCTTTAGTAACATTAAGACCTACATAAAAGTCTGTTCTTAATTGCAGGTATGCTAATTTGGAAATCTTTTTGAGTAGGACCACCCTGGAAAAATGTAGCTCCTTCTTACTGAAAGCTGTTAGACAAATGCATCAGTTTTACCCCTGCAGTGATTTAAACCTCGGCAGAGATAGATTCTCATTTAAAGATTTTTTGCAGTTTATCTCTTAGGGTGACTTAGCAGCTTTAACTTCAAATATCATAGTTGTGGGTTTGTTTATGTGTAGATGTCTACAGCTCAACTGGATAGAGTGTAGAGGAGAGTCAGGAAAACTATCAGGGACCTAGAAAACACAAACTACAGAACTGGAATTAATGACCCTCAAGAAAAAAAAAAGGTAGTACTTCCAAAGCATTCATAGGAAAGGAATCCAGACTGGTGGATCACAGAAGGAAGAGATTCGAATTGCAGCAGAGAATATTCCTGTCCAAAGTCTATTCCTCCTATCAATTAATTCAGAAATACATTCTTCCTCATTCTTCCACTATTCAGCCACTATAAAAGTACATAGATCTTTCATTAGTTTAACTTTTGTATTTTACTGAAACAATTTTTATTGTGGCATGGATGTGATTTTAGAGAGATAGTTACAAACCTTTGTGTCCAGTAAGAATACTGAGAAATCAAATTTTCCTAGAGAGCATGAAGCAATTTCAACCCAAATTTAGAGGAGTGACCTAAAATGGAAGGCCTTTACAATGGTACTTTGGAGGTGCTCATAATTTTTCTTAATTCCAGAAAAGACGAAACAAGACTGAAAAAGTAAAATCATCTCTAGAGCATTTTTCAAGTATTTGAAGGATATTGACAGCGTTTCCTGCCTAGCCACTTCTCTGTGGGAGCCTAAGCCTCTGGCTGCAGTTCAGATTTTTTCCCATACATCTGCTTTCTTTTACCACCCCCATCAAGTGCTTACCTGGAGCAATATATTCACAAAACCCATGTGTCTGTGTGACCTCATGCAATCCCAGACCGAAAGCTGCACGTGAGTGTAGAAGAAGCTGCCTAAGACTTTTCCATCCCATCCACACTGAGTAGCTCCAAAAGGAAGAAGTGTCATAAGCACTTACATTGGTTATAAATTCAGCTGTGAACTACAGGCAAGCAGATGGTCTTACAGGAAAAGGCCCTTCTCTGACACCAGTCCCAAGCCATTTCTTAATGTGGTATATCCAGACTTTACCCAATGCTGCAAATTGCAGCAGCCATTCAAATATAAAATTAATCTGTTTGCTTAAATGTCAAGGGAATGGGGAGTAGGAAAAAAGCAAACACCTATAAGGCTTTTTACTTGATCTCCAGAGCTCCTTGATGGTTTTTTCAAAGCAGTATTTCCAGAAACTAATTAAAAACAAGCTGCAAGTTTATGGAGAGTCATTTGTATAAAGATGCAACAAGGGGAAAATCAGAATTAAGCAAGTTCATTTTTTCCTGCTGGATAAAGAGGCTGGAGGGCAGCACTCAGCCATCCTGTGCAATCCCAAAGGCACAAAACTTCACACCAGCTAACTCCTGTGCATGATGGTCGCCTTGTGAATTAAGAACTGTCTAGAGGCTTCATGTAAGAACCTGGACTCTGCTATTATAAGAAACAGTATTTCCCTTCAGTATAAATAAAGAATGTTTGTTCTCAAGCAGTTTTCTCTTTCCCCAGGAGGTGCAAGAAAGTAGCTTAGCTAAGCCAAACAACACTGTTTGTTGTATAAGAAGACTGGCTGGCTGTCTCTCTGGCCAAATACTTTATCTTTGGTTTACTAGAACAGAGGGAATAGGGCACACTTTAGAGAACTCTTGAGGACAGGACTGCATCCATGGAAAGCTGATATACTGACAAAGCCCAGGCAGAGGGAATGGATGTTTGGTTCCCAATTCAATAATACAGTAGATTTGTTCATATGCAGTGATGGCAGATTCCAGACAGCTGCAAATGAGTGGGTGCAGAACAAACTGAAACCCGGGCTGGTGCAGAGCTGCTCCTGTACCAACACCTACTGAAAGGTGTGGGAAGATGCATTTGGATTTGGGTTTTGGGTCAATGGATAAAGCATATGTCTGCCACTATGTGATACATGGGTATTTCCTCTCCCCACAAAGCCCTTTGTCACCCTGTACAAAACAATGGAAATGCTTTCATCAATTTTCTGGCTTCTTTGGGCAGTAAACATAAATATAGTCTACAATTAGTCACAATCTAATTGCATCTATACATTAGGTTCCAGTTTAGTTGCACCACTACAAACTGTAACAACATTATTAACACTTCTGACAAAACAGATTTCTGGAGCCTTTATTTACATGAGTGCTGTAGCACCCAAAATTCTCTATGCCTACACTTTGTGACAGAGTACTGCATTTGGAAATCATGAGTGGGAGTTTAAAATAGGTTCAGCATGCAGCTCACACTGTTCCCATCTCTGACATCCATATGTGGCTTGGACAATCTGGAGTTTTCTTTGAAAGGCCTTCCTCTATTTTGCAAAATAAAGTTTTACGTTTGCTGCTATGAGGCACTGCAAGTTGCAGAGCTTTAAGATGTCACTACCACAATAAACAATGATGTTTATAAACAGTCTGATGGCTAAACAGACACATCCAGGATCAAATATTTGCCACACAAGCAATCAAACAAATGGGTAAACATGAAGAAAATTATTATAGAACTATAAACATTCTATTATTAACCAGCAATCTGTATATCTTCCTCCAATTAATGCCTAGAAAGGAGATGCGAGTTAGTCGAAACTTAATTACTGGCATAACACTTTGTTGATTAGAAATGCAGTAACAGTCATTGCTTCTATTCCATTTATACAAGGCCCATAATAATAAGCCAAGGGATGTCAGTCACTGCTTTCCTGCCAGTAGTTTCTGCAGTAGCAATAGCTTCTGGTGTAAATGCACTCCTTCACTCATGTCACTCAGCTCGGTAATTGCCTTGCCACTCACATAAAGAAAACAATTTCCGGCTTTGATGGGATTTTGTCGGCGATGTGAAACTGCTCCTGCAATCTCTGCAGCAAGGTGTTAGGTGGGTTACTTTGGTGGATCATAACATGAAACTAATCTTTAAGGAAGCAGGTGGAAAGTGAGAGAGGCTTATATGCTGCTAGGTGCTAGGAAAATGGTGCTTCTCACATGATCGACAAAAGGGAAGCGTTCAGTGAGGGGGAACTGAGACAAGAAGGAGGCAGAAGCAAAGGGAAGAAAAATGCATTGCCATTTTCATACCATCAAGAACGTCTCTTAGCTCAGCACATCTTTCAGAAGCTCTTATAAAACCATGTATACTTATTTCATATTGCATAGGTAGCTGACCAGCAGCCTAGTTTCAGCCTGCTTCATATTTGGTCCTCCCCACAAACTCCACCCCTTATCACCACCATTTCACCATTCCCATCCTGAAGCTGCAGATGCAAAGAGTTTTCCCCTCAGTATGTGACATGCAGCATTGTTTTACTTCACCACCTCATTCCCTGAATGAGTGTTCCAGTGCTTGACATTTCATTCTGCTTCTCACCTGATGTGAGCCCACAGTCCAGCTCCAGGTTTCCCTGAGGCTCTCCCCAAGCTCTTCACATCCCTCACATCCCTCTGCATGAGCCCAGCTTGACACAGGAGTGGGACATGTGCAAGGACAAAACCTCTAGGATGGTAAGCAACAACTAACCTTGTCTGCTTGCTATCAGAGCCAGAACTTGCAGCAACAGAGACACAACTTTCTTCTCCCCTGCCCCTTGCCTCCCAGGTGGATTTATGCTGAGATTTTCATGGACAGGTATAAGAAACGTTCAATTTATATCTCTCTCTTGTGATGATTCAAAACTTCATTAGAAATACAATTTGTGAGTAGCAAGTTGAGGACAGAGTAAATGGAAAGATTCACAGAAAAGTGTGTTTCAAGGGCCCTTTTCGATGGAAAGCCATATCAAGAATAGGATAAGGAGGCTTAAAATTAAAGGAAAAATGTAACTGTACCACAGTATCATCCAGAGAGCATGTCTAGTGTTATAAATCAAGTTTTCCCTTGCAGGCATAAAGGACGGAATGAAACAGCCAAACTGTCCATAAATAGACACAATAGCTTTGCTTTTACATTTGCAAAAGAGCCAGAGTGAAGTATTATGTACAATTTATGCAAATTACTACAATTTACACATTTTCCAACCAGAAAAATAAAGCACATCTTACTGAAGTCCCAGAAATTGAGGACATCAGAAATACCAAGGAGGATGTGGGCTAATGAACAGACACAGACATTCCAACAGGGAACTTGTTCTAATATCTGATAGGAAAAGCATAATGGGAAAATTCATCTATTTCAGTTGTTTCCAATGAAGTTTTGTGTTTATTTCATATCTGCTGCTTTAATACTCAATACTGCTGTCTCAAGATCCTCTGACAGGACTAGAATTAACTGTCTTCAGCAAGCTTTCTATTTCTGAGCTCTCTCTTGAGAGAGATGAATCATTATGATCTTAAATGCACCAGACTCCTCATCCCTTCATAGCATTGTCTCTATCATAACCACAGCACAAAGTTATAGCAAGTAAAAATATATTAAGTTAATGGAAAAAAGCCCTTTCATTCTTAGCCCAAATGGTTCTACTTCAATTGCAGTATATTTCAACATAGCAATATTAAGATACTTCCAAAACCACTCTTGCAGTTGAAGGAGGTAAAAAGGTCTATTTGCTTCAGAGGGACATCAAATATTGTCTTTTGATTTATTAGAGCACTTTTTCTTATAGGAAAACTTGGATACCCACAAACCATGGATTTAAGGAAAGTAAAGCTTACTGGTTCTCCCTTTACTCCAAAAGAAAGCATGGTAATTATTCTTACCTTCAGAAAAGGCATGACAGCTCTTCATGTACATCTTCAGAAGTATCAAAAAGCTCCAAAGCTGTCAGGATTTACACCCTAGTGAATTACAGAACAGCACAAAAGTCATATTTAAGGATTAATTTTTTCTGTTTCAAACAACACAGAATAAAGTTCTTAATAGTATTATTGTTTCATGTTTTTATGTTTTTAACATTTGGGAAAAAAAACCCCAAACAAACAAAAACAAGTTTTAAAAACAAAACCTCCTTGGCAGGTAGCCTGACTTTGTATTGATCACTTCTTGTTCTTCACATATGGTGAAATGTTATTTTTAATGCTGACTACACAGTAAATAGAGAGATTCACACAGGGTATATCCAAAATAACCCAGAGTTGGGCTTTCCTGTAAATGAGATCATCAGCAGTACCTCAGAGTGGATTTGTGCTCTATTTTTGGTACTTCATATTCTTTAGCATAGCATTCCTTAAAACCAATAAATAAACATAACATCTACAAGCTTAAAATACAATCTAGGCGAAACCAATTCATTAATACTGGGTAGTTGAAGTACCGTTAAGGCAGAATTTAAAGTGCAACCACAAATTTAGGACAGCTTCCCACACATGCTCCTCTCTTCAAAGTTTTCAATATATCTCTTACACTCTATTCTCATTCTCTCCAGCTTTCTATTATTTTCCTCATATTTATTTTTTATTCAATCAAAAGCCACTTTCCTGTTTTCTTATTTGAAAATTGGAAAAAAAAAAATCTGTAGAATCACTATGTAGACACATAAGAAACTACTGCATATTTCAAAGAGAAAGTTTCACACTCAGTATATTGAAAAATGGAATCAAATGTACACACCAGTTCTGGAAAAAGCAGAAGATGCTTCCAAGCTGCAAGGATTTTTCCAGTACCTATTTTCTCTGATGACCTTGTAAAAAAAACAAAACCAAAAACCAAACCACAAAATAACAACCACCCTATCTGATAAGGAGCAAGAGTGTGATGTTCTGCAAGACCTTCTTTGCACCACTTTTGATTTCACTCTGCATACATTTTATTGTGCTTGTGCCTTTCAAGGGCACAAAACAGAGCAAGGTCTGCTCAAGAAAATAACACATGTGGAACAAAATTATAAAACCCCTATCCAAACCCTTTGCATTTCTATCAGAAAAAGCAAACCACAGGGTCAGGCCAGGGAGAAAACAAGGCCATTTACAAAAATCAGAAAGGTAGAAACTCTTTCATCAGCATAGCAATAAATAAAAACAATGATTACTGCAGGGACTTCAGCCTACACCTCTCTAAGTGTTTGACCCTGCTCCCTCTTGTGAGCTCTGTTAATCTCCTCCCCTTTGTGCTTTTTGCTGTTCCTGAGGTCCTTATTTGTTAATCACCTGTCTCCAGAGCAGGTTGGCTAATTTAGATCTGACAGCTATTAGTCACCAGGTAACACGTGGCACCAGCTTTGACACAAGTGTCTCTATTTACTCATTTATCCTTTCACGTCTTTGGGGGGGAAGATCATAAAACCAGCATGCTGCAGACATGAAGAGAAGAAAGAACCTTAGATAACAGAAGAGACCACATCTCACACTTAATTAATATCAAATTTATGAATATTAATGCAAGGAACACCTAGGCCAAGATGGAGAAGGGTGTTTTGGAGAGAAGAAACAAATTCAGCTTTGTAAAGGCACAGATGAAAGCTGTCACAGCTATGACTGGTTGCAAGAAAAGGTGTTTCATGTGTCCCAAAAGCCATTCTTAAAGCAATGTAACACAAACCTTGGGATATCTCTGTTTGGCAGAACAAACTCTGAAATGACTAGTGTGTAGCAACATGGCCACTTGCATGGTCACTGTAAAAGTGTCATGAAGCCAAAGGACATAAATGTTGTGCAAGCAGACTCATGGGATTAATAAAACATCACATAAAGGCTTCTAAATGCAGTTCAGCTCACCTTCTAAAGAGAACAGGAAAAGCTCAGCCCTTCAGCAACCTTATTCACAAACCAGAGCTGTCATGCTCCATGTTAGAGACATCTCATTAGCTTATGTGAATGTGCAACACCCACACCAAGGCTTCAGGGAGCAGGAGACTAAGTGGGCAAAGACACAGACATCCTCCAGCTTTGTTTGCATTCAATAGCAACAAGAAAGCCCTCACATATTAAAGTTAATGGAAACACCAGGATGACAAGCTACTCAAAAATCCACCCCATGGAGGGAGAATTTGGCTGAATTGGCCCCTTGACTGATAGCTGATAGAAAAAAACCCTAAGTGACAGCTAGAACAAGAGGGTGTTATTAGAGTCACTGCAGGTTTCCTAAATGTTTGGGGATTTTTTGCTGTGCCTGTAAGTGCTTCCAAGGTTGTTATCAAGAGCTCAATCCTTTGTTGCTACACAATTTGCTTTCTTGAGTTTATATTCTTGTTTGAAACTGCCTGTTGTTGTGTTACGCTGGGGTAGCTCTGGCAAGCTCAGGTGCATCATTTCTCCACAGGACAACAATAAAAGAAATAAAAAAGAAGATCCCACAAAGAATCTGCAGAATGTCCCATCAAGAAAACTGAGTGCTCTGGAGACTGGTGCTATCAAGATACAGGACACAGGGAAAAAAATGTGTATTTTTACAGATACTTTTCAGCGACCTGCAAGTAGGGGAAGAGATGGTTTATGACATGAGGGAATCCCAGAGTGTCTCATCTTGACATCAGCAGAACTCAGGACCAGCAATCTGTAAGCTCAGAAGAAAACAAGACTTTCATCCAGCAACTTGGATTTTAGAAATATTTACATATTTGCTAGCTCTTCAGGCTGCATTGGCAGTACTCTGTGTGGCAGTTTTAAGAGCTGCCTGATTATCAGCAGCTGTACCTGATTATGTGCCAATTAGTACAAGAGCTCCCACAGTGTAAATATGAAGGGTTTCCTTTCCTCTGCTGTTCATTGATATCTACAACTTCAAGAAAACTCTATTGACCACCCCATGCTAATACAGTCATTTATTATGGTTATTAGGCTGTTATAAATCCTAGAGAAACTCAACAGATCTTACTATTTTAGATATGGGATTTGTAAGAAACATTTGGCAAATTGTTTGGACGAACAAAATGTCCTGTCTCCAAACCATACTCCCCCAGAAGCGCCTGCTGCTTGTGTCTCCTTCTCCAGTGAGCTACACGAAATGCCCCCCAGTCTCTCCGTTTGCCTCCATGTCCATCCTAGTGGACGCTAATAACCACAGAGAGGCATGACTTACTGACTGGGAACCAATTCCAGGGACAGATGGATCAGCCACAGGGAGGGAAGCCTGGGGCTGCCTCCAGGTCACACAAAGTGACCAGAAACTGCAGTCCTTGGCAGGGCAGGACACCCTGCTTCCAAAACCAGGCAGCCACCTTGGCCACCTCTGATATTCGCTCCAATAAAATTTCCAGGAGACACCTTCTGCACACCCCAGCATGTCCCTGCTCCTGCCTGCACTTGGAGCAAAACAAAATCAAACCCTTTGGCTGAGACTTCTCAAAACCTCCTGAAGAGGCTTGTGACTAGAGGTAGCTTAGGTCAGTCTGCTGCTTTTGAAAACTCCTCTTCTTGTCCGTGGGATATTTTGTGTAAAACATTAATGTATAAATATTCTGAGAATTAATGCTTTCTGCCTCATACTCACTGCATAATACAAGGAGAAATAACACCTAGAAATTACCACTGATTTAGAGCTGCAAACTATTTATTCTCAGCCAGCTGGCTTGTGATATGAGCTGCTCTGTATTTAAAAGCATGGCTTTCTCCCATGCTTGTCTCAGTTTGGGTGACTTCTGTGGTGTCTCTTTGCAAAGCTCTTTTACCAGGGCAGTGATTTGCAGCTCACATAAGCCACCAGGCTGCTGCATTATGACCTTATGTTATAGATAATGCAATTTCAGAAGCTGATTACAGAATGGTTCTATGAAATAGGAAGGAAACTTCTGTTGCTCTTTGAGGCTGTTCTGCTTCTCTTGAAGCATAAATGAGTTTATTTTGTCATCTCCTAAGGATCAGCCATACCCTTTGCAGCACACACACAGAGGATGTATTTTCTGCTAATCCTATGGTTATTAATCTGTTTTGTGGTAGCAGCCATGGCTCACAACCCAAGCAAAGAAAAACAAGGTTTGAACTTAATACAGTCATGCAAGGTGTTTGTTTTTACAGGTGACACACCCATGGATGGCTGTTTCCAAATGTGGCATTATTCAGTGAAGTATAGAAAACAGTCAGACTAAACTAATCAAAAATAATAACCTTTTTGCAATATGCACTATCTCTACAAGTGAATATATTAGTGTTATTAATAATAGCCTCACATTAATGCAAAGCTGTGCTGTCACCTGTCGCAGAACAGCAGCTGTATGTATGACACCAATGGTTATTACATTACAAGTTGCCTGGAGTCTTATGCTGACATTAAGTGAAGCAAGCACGGAATTTAATGCATTTAACAAAGTAAAAAAAAATTTAAATCATACCTGTAATTTAATATATGCATGTTCTTCACCGTGGCAATTACCCACAAGTCCACAAAGAACAGGCTGGGCTTGAGGCTATCAGAGAGTTTATTCAGAATTATTCTTACGGATGATAGCACTTCATGGTTTCCAAAACAAGCTTGTTCATTACATTGCTTTCTGCTAACTGTATTTCTGCAAGATGCCCCTTTCATTTGCTCATTTGCTCAGCCAGGAATGAATGAAAGGGAGCTAAAGGGAAAAAAAGTTCAGAATTATTAATCCAATTTTCCAGCTTAATTTTTAGTATAAAGTAAAAACATACAATCATGAACTCATCATAATCTATGGATTCAATTATTCTCACTTAGGGTTGCAGGAGTTTATGCTCCCAGAAATTTATGCCTGTTGTGTTTATCTGAATCTGTAGCCCTCCAGAAGTCTGTACCAGATTTCTGAATAGATTGTGCACCCTGGGGTGCTGAGGGCATCTGAATGCTCCAGTTGGATCATCCTCAGTGATTAGCAAACAGATCCTTTGTCAGCATAGGCCAAGTTCCAGTTTCAGGTCACCATGTTTCTGAAACGCAAGATGTCTGGAATGTTGAGCTGAAATGCAAAGTTTACAAATTTAAGATTCCAATGGCCCTTTTTTATTAGTTTATGCCCCAAAACCCTAAGCACCAAGGAATTTGGCCCCTTGCTCTGTCATTCTCAGGTAAGTTCTGAGTTTCTTCAGGTCAAGACAGCTACTTCCCAGAGACCATGCCTGCAGTTTTTCTTACTTTTATTGTTCAGTATGCTGAGGAGATAAGGGAATGGGTCACAAACATCATCAGAAACACCACATTTGTTCAAGCATATTTGTCACCACAATCTCATTGCTATTGGCTTTTCCCATGTAGAACTCATAAAACTGCTCTTAAATATTGACCCATTTTATTTGCCTAGCTATCAGCTTGGTTCATTTTATTCTAAAATAATCAATAATGTATTTACTTGGCAAAACGTTTCCTCAAACATTTTCTAACCAGCCAGTATAAGACCAGTGTTGAAAAGCTTTTCTTCATTACAGCTCTAAATCATGGTTTGTTTATTCAGAAAAAACACACAGAAAATATGGTGTTATCGAGCAAGTGAGATTCTAAAAGATTGCTCTTTTTGAAATTGTAACTGGAAGTTGTTCTTTTTGAAATTGTAACTGGAAGTTGTAATGGCACAGGACTGTTCCTTATGATGGAAAAGGAATTCTTGGAATGAAAAGCTCTGCTCTTTCAAAAATGTTTGGATTTAATTTAGGAAGTGAGATCAAAATATTTTGCCTCAGGATAAGTAATCTGGTATTGCAATATTTGGTTTGTGAGACAGAGTCAAAATATTAGCATCGTTATGGTGATAACATGCAACTCTCTGACAAAACCCCTCAGCCTGCAGAAAAATTTCCTACAGGTCACTGCAAGGATTCAGTAACATAAGCCAGCATAAAGTGTTTCAGTGTGGCTCTGCAAACAGAAATTAATTTTTATGTGTAAAAGTTTAAATTACCTCATTTCAGCTTAAAGACCTAAAATGTTGTATTTGGACATTATGATTTGAAGAGTTTCTTTAAACTTTCCAGATTTAACTTTTGTTATGTTTTATATGAATTTCTTGTCAATATTATTATTTATTTTATAATCTTCCACAGTAAAATAAATTCTAAATTTTTAGGATTTCTAGCATCTGATTATATTTATAATCCAAGAAATGAAACTACCTTAAACATAAAGTAAGCTCATTTTTCTGTCCCAAATACATATTCACATGGCTTTAACAAGACTTAAGGGATGAAGGGTAATATTTTGTCATTACAGGAAAAAAAAAAAAAGCCTGCCCATTGTTTTCCCTGGCAAGAGTCTTCCAGTGTCTAAATAACATTGTATTCTGCAAAAGCTTCATAGCCTAGTATTTATTTCCAATTCTTGAAAGATACGTGACAGAAAGATGAACGTGTTGGTCTCCCTGCTGTGCTCTCACTGAGGTGAGATTCTGTCAGTGCTTTGAACCTTCTGTTTGGCAGACAACAGACCCTGCTAATAAAAATAACATGTTCAAAGATACGGTTAAAGCCTGTGCTTGGACTGTGTGAGAAGTTTCTGTTGAGCACCTCAGCGCCATGAACACCCAGGGAAAGCAGGGAGAGGGAATAACACCGGTCACTCCAAACTGCCACACCAAAAAACTCAGCCAGCCTGGGGCCATCACCTGGGACTCTTAGTTAGTGAAATCTAGAAAAAGCCACAGCACACAAAAATCAAAAACCCTGCTGCTGTAGCATGTGACAATATGACCCAAATGGGTGTGAAGGCTCTGGAGAGGGCAAGGCACCATGAGGTCTCAAGAGGGGAGGTGGCAGCCATTTCCTGGAGGCCTCCCAGTGCGGCATACACATTCTCTGAAAAATCCCTTTGCCCAGGATTTTTCTCCTGGGAAGCTGAGAAGCCTCAGCTACAGCCATTTGAAATGCAGAATAAAAGGATGGCGAATTATAATTGATGGCCTCAAACAGTGGAACAGGGGCAGATATTTTTTTCTTGTAAAATTTTATTTTAAACACCAGTTCAACATTTTATTTCCATGCTTCCCAATGCATCTTTCCCTATTACTCTACTACTATGCTTTGCCACCCTGGTTTGTCCCTCCCATCCACCCAGCCTGATCAATGCTCCAAAAGGATTTTTACCTGTCTCACACTAGTATTGTTGGTACCAGCAACAGTCTCATCATTTACCCTGCACCGAAAGATGGGAAAAGTTCAGCCCTGGATAAGTTTTCTGGCTTCTCACTGTAACAACTAGTGCCACTAACACAATAAAATTTTATATCATTTTTATTGCATCTCTCCTAGAGAATTATAGGCAGAGCAGTGGCTTGCAGAGCAGATGTGTGAAGCTGCAGACAGAACTGCATCTGTTTCCTTTTGCCACAAATTGTTTTGTATAGATCCCTGTTGACTAGGAAATTTAACATGCTGTCGCTGTACATCACATTTGTAATAAAATCATTGTTAAACAAACACATTATTCCCTTCTACTCTCCTCCCCCTTTTCTTTTTCTAATAACAAACTGACTTTATATTCTCTCCATATTCTTCCTTCTCACTTCACAAAATAGATTTTTCTTTTGGCTCCAGTTTTACTTGGACCTGGACCAAGTCCAGAAGTTTGATGTTGGCTTTTACAGCAGTCCTGAGAGTACAGGGAAGGTGGGGAAATGTCAGTAAGAATCTGCTGCTTCCCACTAAATCAAAATATATTTGTCATTGTATTTCTTGATGGGATCTTGGTTTGGTTTTTTTTTCTTTTTTCTCTTGTTTTCTTTCACCCAAACCCTGCTTTCTCTGAGCAGAAGAGAATTAAGTCACCATCCAGATCCAGATATGGAATTGAAAAGAAAAGCTATCTCTGAGCTGCAGAAAGTTGCCTGCAGCATTTAATCTCTAGTCTGTGGGGTGATGCCCTGCTTTTGCTGCAGCTGTGAGTGCTTTGCAACCTCATCCTTGCCTGGGTCACTGCAGCTACTCCAGCTTTTGGGCTGTGGAATAAAACAGCTCCTGATTACTGATAAACACAGAAAGCAGAGGCCTCTGAGAGCACACTGCCATTTGCAAAATGGCAAAGCAAATAAACATAATTTTGCTCATATTCCTAGAAGAGGGAGAGCGGTGTCTTAATGTAACACAAACCCTCCAAGGAAACATATCTTTAGGAAATACATGTTTTCTGAAGGATGGGGCCACACCAGCTGCAGCTCCTCTTCTTGGGGTGTGGTTACACAAATTGGTCTGTGTCTCAGAAATCAGGAAAGCCAGACTCTGCCTGTGCCATCTCACATGGACATGGAGCAAAACCATACAGAACTGCTCGGGGCTGTGGCTGTACATCATTCCCCAAAGCAGCCATTCTCACAGAGAGGCACTGCCATACCAAATATCTGGGTACAGTGCCAAGCTGGGAACACAGCTGACACAGACAATAATGAGGAGAAGCTGATGGGATTATGACTGAAAATCACAACAGTAATAAAATGACAGAAGGAGTCACAAGCCCTTTAAGGAGTTCTGCCTTATTTGCATTTTCTTATGTTGCTTGGAAAACTTAATGAAGTTTATCTTCTGTCATTAAGATAAACCAGCTCTGTGGTGGTGCTGTCAGAGCTTCACTAATTAAAAGTCAGCCTCCAAGTGCTTAAAGCTTGTCTACACTTGAAAATTAATTCAGTTTGAGGGAGCGTATACATTTAATTTGCAGCAGCTATATTACCTAAATTAGGATATCTATTTTGTAGGCAAGGCTCCTCTGAACTTGGCTCCAATTGAAACTGAGCATTTGCTTCTTTGCCTTATCCTGAACCAAGACATCTGTGTATAAGGAAGGATTCAGGGATACCTCTTGCTAAGTATCCCCATGCACAGACAAGATTTAGGATGGCTGATTCACAGCAGTTTCCTTTCTGAATGCTTCTCCCTGCCTTGTGCCCCATCAGCTGAGGCAAGTCTGCAAGCAACAGATGATGCATGGCTGCAAACAATGTGCTAAATGGATATAATTATCAAATTTGTATGGACCTGCAGTGCTTATGCAAGGCTGCTATTACAGCACAAAGCCTAAATAAGAGAACTTAAACCTGGATTAAAACCTTTCTAAAAAAACAAAAATATTTTCTTCATATTTTTATAAACAAGAAAGTTTGGAATACAGAAAAAATACTATGAACATTTGGGATCACTTTTCTTTATGTGCACTGTATGAATACAACTATCAACCAATTTAAGAAATTATTAGAAAATGAGCACTAGGTAATTTAAAAACAATTCTGTTACTATGAAGGGTGTTTTTCCAATTAAATTCCAAGAGTTTACAACGTCCAAGACATTTGGAAATTTCAGAATAGCTGAAGAGCACAAAGCAAAGTTCTTATTTCAAATCCTGCTCTCTCAGATACATGTTCAAGGCTAGAAAGTTTTTCTAATACTTGCTAGTGGAATAGATCCAAGACAAGGACTAGAGAGGACATGGAGCAATGCAGCATCCACAGCTTGACTCTCATAATCTCATCTGGATGATGTACAGAGAGTAGAAAGATGCTGTTTGAAAGGAAAGGCTGTCCCCACTCAAAGGAAAATAAATTCTGTTTCAGGTGCTCTTTTTCAGATCTCTTTGTAGAGTTCACAGAGCATAACGTAGCTCCAGGTTGGTCTTTAGGCATATGGCTTCCCTCATCCATTTTAAGCAGAGATTTTGGAGAGTGTTGAAGGAAAATGGTACATGGAGAGCCATGTCTAGCAAAAAGTGTGTGTCAGATGAAAAGAAACATTTTGGCAGTCCTTGCAAGGGTATCTGACCCTTCAGCTTCACCTGTTTGACCAGGTGAAAATAACAATTTCTCTTCTGCATGGAAGGGAAAGGAAAGGGACTTTTCTTGCTGTTAAATACAAGACTATTTAATCATCATCTAGTCTCTACAAGATTTTAGCTGATTTTCTACTTTCTACATCTATATTTGGTGGGAGTCCTCCAGCATTTTTTGTTAGATGTCTGCAATGAATTCCCCCTGAGACTGATGGTTCCACCCTTCTAAGACAAAAATGGGAACCTCTGCTCCGGTGGGACATTGGTAAAACAAGAGCTGCCCTCCACTCAGTTATTATTTTCTCCCAGATAATAAGAAATGGCCTAAAGCTGTTCCAAAGGATGTTTAGATTGGGTGTTAGGAAGAATTTCTTCATTGAAAGGATTGTCAAGTAGTGAAACAGCCAGGGAAGAGGCTGTCACCATCTTGGAGGTATTTAACAGACATGTAGATGTGGCACTGACCTGGTGGTTTTTTGGTAAGTTTGGGAGTGCTGGGTTTATGGTTGGATATAATAATCTTGGAGGTATTTTCCAACCTAAATGATTCTGTAATCATGGTGTGATATTCTCAGAGAGAGATATTGAATGCTAATAAACAAAATCCTAGAAATACCACAATAAGACAACTTCCATATATCCCGTTATTTTCTTTTGTTCTGTCCCTGCCTTCCCTTTCTTATGTTTTTCTCATATAAAATGTTTATTTACCCTGAATGGTCTGGAATGGACAGTGTCTGAGATCACTGTGGCCCTGGCACTGAAAGACTGCTGGGCCTCTGATGAATTGCTGGACTCCAAGAAAAGGATATCATCCTTCTTCAAAGCTAAGAAATATCAAGTGCTGGTTGTCCTTCCTCAAAATACAGCCACAAAAGCTTCCTGTGTTATGAAATTAGCTGGGGGGAGCGGAGGGAGGAACACCAAGCCAGAGGAAAATATTTAGGAGGACTCCTGCACATGCCAGTACCTTTGTGGACACATGCACATGGATACATATGCAAATACCCAGAACAGGACCACGTGCTGGTTTCCAACATAACCTGAAGGACAGTACAGGATGCAACTGGCAGTGGTCATCCAGCTGGGATGAGGTATTCCTCCTGCTGGTATCCAACTGCTTGCTTAAAATGAAACGCTTGGCAGCCGAAATGTGCCACAGCTAGAAAGCAAGCTCGAGTCAAAACAAATAAACAATCCCAAAATTAGGTTTAAACCAGAGAATAAAAATGAAATGTCATTTGAAAGCATACTAAAATTGGCTGGTGTCTGACAGAGCATTTAGCGGCTCAGCACTTCTCTGCTGCACTTCAGAAATTAAAGAGAGAAACAGAGAAACAGTCTTAGATGAAGCAATAAATAATGGACACTTTCAACACATAATTTGCACTTGAATTAACTAGGCTGGCTAAATTAATTCATCCATTATGAAAGGAGAATTTTACTGTCTACATTTTCAGGCTCCCCAGTGTGCAAAGTCAAATGGGCATGGAGGCAGGGACTACTGGCTTCCTAGAAATTGCTACTAAATTACTCTCCTCCCAATGATTATCCAGTTCACAATTTTATCAGCTTAATGCTGATAAAAACAATTGTCCCAGGGCCTTGTTTGGATTGTGAGGGTGAACAGCTTTTGAGTAATCCAGCCCTCACTCAGGCTGTTGTCTGAAACACTTTTCAGGCCTCCCACCCCAGAAGAGTTAAATCAAATAATCAAGGTTACTTTGAATTCAACATAAATTTAAAAAATTTTGAGGCTGAGGGGTGATTTCTTTGCAACATTATTTTAACTGCTTCCCTGAGAAAAGTTCAGATAACCTTAAAATGGATAGTTGCTGCAGTATATGAAAATAGGTTATTAATTATATAGTTTAGAGCATCAAGAACTAACTGGAGGAAGACATAAGCTCGGAGGCATATGGAATAATCAATATATTACATTGTTCTTAAGAATGCATTGTGTTTGAAACTACAAACACAAGTTATATTTTCATGAACTACACCATCAGGATTTTCAAAACTACGCTCAAAAATTCAAAAAGCACTTGAAAAAAGGGAAAAAGAAATTGCCATCTCCCCATTGCAAACAAGCAATGGCAGAGAAGGAAACCAACTCATCATTCAAAACCATGTTCAGGGTAGGGTCACATCCCTTTGCCCACTCCATGTCAGGAGAGATACACCCCAGTAACCTCCAAGGGCACCCCAGGCTTCCCAAGGGACACACTGTGGGCTAAGGAGAGGATTTGAGCAGCAAGGCTTTGACAGGAGCACGGTTCAGCAGCAAAACCTATTTAAATTTCTGACACTTCTGCCAACGTCTGGAGAAAACTTGTTCTGGTTGGGGAACAAGAACAAGCAAGTGATGGATGGGCACCTGACAGCACTGCCCTTTGCTAGTGAAGCTTTTAACACCTTTTCTGAAATCAGAGAGGAGGGAGGAGTTTTACCACATAGCTCAATCACACAGCCAGGTCAGGCCAGGACGGATTTTGTCAGAATAGTGACACTCTCCCAAAAGAGCTATGTTGCAAAGCAGAAGATGTGCCTGTTGCTCACACTTTTCCAAGCTTTGTGTCCCCCATCCTGGTCTACCTTTCCCCAGAGAAACATAACACTTTCCAGTGTTGCTATTTATTTTTCCTCAATTCTTTTTTATAATGGAGGAAAAATCATAGTAGTCCTTGCTGTGCCAGAGTATTACTCCATCAGCCCATGGAGTTTCTTCACTCCACATGGACCATAACTGTGGTGTGAGGAGAAGGAAGAAAGAAAACAGGAAGGCAATAAATCAATGCTACACTCCTTGCAATGGCACTATAATCCCCTATATATTGGTGCTATCTCTGACACCAAAAACAAAGAGCTAGAAACATTTACACCCTTTCTTTTGATTGCCATGATGAAACAAGCTGAATGAATTGTTGCCTACCAAAGGTACTCAAATATTTTTCACTTTCCTTCCTCAGTGTCTATTGATTTGTTCTGTGCAGAAAGTAAACCATATTGCAGCAGAAAGCTGCATTGTTACAGAGCCCAAAGGGACTGGCTTCTTCCCTGTCTGCCTACGCACTGAGAAGATGGCAGTGGCAGTGACAGTCTGTCCTTGCTGCCTTTGTCACTTCCATCCCAAAGACAGTGTAAACATATCTTCAGCATTAAACCTAAGAGGCAAGATATGTTATCCTGTAAGTCACATCCTTCAAGATATAAATCCATTTACAGAATTCCTAAGGTTTCTTCCTTTGCTCTTGGCTCCAGAGAAGATTTTAAAAAAATTACATCTAAACAGACTGAATTTGAAGACCATAACAGGATGGGACTTTAAATATTGATTTTGTTTATCAGTGGAATAAATAACACACTTTTGACAGCACAAAGCATCTACTGTGTGCATAGTGAGGATAGACAGACATCCTCTGGAGCAGCTAACGCCCTGGAACCTTACAGGGTATCTTTAAAAGCACTCACTAAACACAGAGCATAGAAATGATCTGGGTGAATACATTTAAGCTACCTGAAATGATTGGCAAATGATTGACTCTTGGAAGGGCCATCTTTAAAGCAGGAGCAAACTCTGCCTGCACTTGGGTGGAAAATGAATTGAGCACTGCCTTTGCAGCCAGAGGCTGAGGTGATAAAAGGGATGTTTAGACACATCATAGCAACAAGTCTGTGTTTTTAAATTTTTGTGAGCTGATACAAATCAAAGAGCCTTGAGGGAAGCATTCAAGTACTGAGAAATTCAATATCAAAGATAAGAACACATAAAAGTATCTCACAAATCACAATTATGAGGACAGGCTTTCTCCAAGATTCATTCAAATTTTCAAAGATTCAGTACATAGTATATATTAAATATTATTTATGTATTCCTTGAGCCTTCTAATCGAGGGAAGAAATCCTCCATTTCCTAAGCTAATGTGAATAGGGTAGTTTCCTTCAATATCAGAAGCATTTCAGAAAATTAATTCTGTATCTCTGAAAAGGTCATTTATTCAAGGATGAGTGCCATAAACTTACTTGTATGTCTGTTCAGCTCAAGTGAACACAAAGCAAATCAATTCAGTGTGGTCAAGTGTAATTACCTGCCAGGGCAAGATCCATCGCTTGCTTTTATTATTAACAATGCCACAGATGCACCAAATTCAGCAACAGCAATTCTGATTAGTGTGAGGTCATGCAGTGTTCTTCATTTCCAAGTGCTTCCTCCTCTGGAGTTTATAACATGATTGCTACAATAGAATAATTTTATTTGTATTTGTACTGTGATGGCAATTAACTTCTAGTTAATGAACAAATTATGAGGTCCAGTGCTAGATTAGCAGGACTAAATATTAGCTGGAGGGGAAAAAGGCTGTGTTTGTCTAAAATGTGCATGTGTTTCTAGGAGCTGGATGTGCTCACAGGACTTTGGAGCCTTAGCTCCTCTTTCTTTCCATTGTCTTGAAATATTTTTTAAATACATGAAGAATAGACACATTTTGGGTGAACTCTCACTAAGCTCTGATCACCTGTGGTTATAAAAGACTTCAGCACTTACTGTTACACTGTAAGTGTCATTTCAAGGACCTAAAATTGCACCTCAACAATTTATGGATGAATAAATTGATGAATGAATAGATCTTTACTTTTAACATAAGTTTTTCTTTGTCATTCTTTAATGAAACAAGTTAATAAAAAATTACATGGACTTCCCAATAAGCTCCATACTACACTAGGAACTCATTAACATTTTTCTGGATTGGGTTTTCTCCCCCCTTTCTGTTTTGATATAGTTTGGGGAATCCTGGATATTTTAAACCAGGTATTTTTTAATCACTTCAGTAAAATGAAGACAATGAATGCTTGTAAATGGGGTTTGCACTCAATATAAAAGTCAATTCAATATATATTATAAACTCTGAGAAAAAAGAAATAGGTTACAGACTATAAAATTATTGATGGAAACCATCCAAAAACTTCAGTCAAATTAGGCTAATATTTACAGTATACACTCAATAGTCAATCACAAAGCTGGGAAGGAACTGATCATTGCAGGAGAATTCAGAGCGTCCTTGTACAGATGAATTGCCTCTTAGCCTTCAGCACAACTGTGTGGTTACACAGTGATGCTTGTGCCAGTTTTATTTTTGTATGTGATGGCAAAAGTGTTCTGGTACAGTCAAATGAAAATTAAATTATGATTTAATAAGAAGAAAACCAATTAGAAATAAAGATAACTCACAAAGACAGAAACACTATGCCACACAGTTAACAAATTAAGAAGGCTGACCTCGTAGGAATTGTTGCTAAACCTCCCCAGCAGGCAAATTTAACTGTGTGCATCAGGCTACAGCTTCCCTGAAGCCCTTCCAGAGCATCAGAAACTACCATGATTTCCAAGGAGTTCTCTAATCATGTAACTTGCCTGGGTGCTATTCAGCATTAGAGCTGTTTAAAGAACAAAGTATATAATTCTACACAATACAGAATGCTATTTGTCTTATTTTGTAGGGCTCCTGCTGAAGTCCTGGCTCTCAAGGTAGTGCAGTCAAAATCAATTCTCACCTCCATTCATCGTGCCTCGGGGATGAATGGATGCAGCCTGTGTGCCACATCCATAAGAGCTGCTTCCATTATTCTCCAATCCCCCCAAAACAAGTATAATTCAATTGATTTTCTCTATGCTTCCAAGAAGGTTACATAGGACAAAGCTTTGCAAAATCAGAGAGCAGCACCCTCCTGGTAGAGCTCCAAAAGCAGCAGGAGTAGCTTGAATTAACAGAGGATGCTCATGCACAGGGGTCTCTGGAGCATGGGGGCTGTAAAGATCTGTCTTCCTAAAATCCTGGCAACTGCAATGCCAAAAGAATTTTGCAGTCTTTGCCCAGTAACAACAATGCTGACTGACTTCCTTTACTCATGTGTTTTTATAATTAGACACAATACATAGTGCCCTTCTTCAGCAATCACTTTCGTATTTTGCCCAGCATGAGATGCTCCTAAAGTACAAGGGAGCTCTTGCAAGACTCCAGGATCCTCCCATTTTTGCCATCTTACTGGAGACAATGAAAATTTTCTGTAATATAATTTTGCCATCAGATCTAATGGGTTCACCAGGAAATATCAAGCTATGGAGAAAATACCATGATTTTAAAAATTATTTTTTATTATTTTTATTTTTTATCAAGCATACCCAAAAGAAAGACTTCCTTTTGAAGCCTGGATTTAAAAATGTTTTGTTTTGTTCTTTATATAAAATGTAATACTGCTGCTCTTTGGGAGATAAAGTCCTAAACCAAACACAACCTGCTGTTCTGAATCATGTTTCACTTTAGATCTCAGCATTTACCACATATGGGACAAAACACCATTTTTGTTCTGATCTACATGACAGGCTGTCATCAGAATATGAATACATCCACGTGGACCTAATCAATTGTATGTACAAGGACTACATATTCCCAAAAATTCTGCTTATTCAGTCACAACATAAAAATAGAAAAGAAAGAGCCATTGCCTGCCTTTCACAGAATTTTATGTAAGCTGTTATAAAGTAGCAGATGTTTTTCAGATAAAGAAAGCATTTCATAACTACAGTGAGCAACAGGAGGCAGAAATACATTGACCTTAGAATATACAGATTGAACAATTTCAGCAGAACAACAGTATGGACTTCATGGACCATTTCTGTGATGGATCCTTTTAGCCCTTCAGTGCCAGCATCTACAAGGCTTAAGGCATTTCACCTGCAACATCTATAGGTGGACTTATTCTTGTATATCTTGAACTCAGTTTAAAAAAGAACCACAAAATAATTTATCTCATGTCATTTTAGGTGGTATCACACCAGCTGAAGACAACACTGGCTTCCTATTTAGTTTCTTGATGATCTCCAAGGTCTTTTCCAGCCTTGTTGATTCTGTGTTTCTGATTCTTCCTTTAAAAGCATCTTTATGCTGTGGCCAAAGTCTTGGTTGGGCAAGCAACTATGGATTTGGTCTTTTCAAGTTTTGTGACCTAAGTTAGAAGCCACAATATTCCTCAGTATGCAATGCTGGCTTTCCTTCTGCCCTTTTGAAAGCATAATTCATGCAGGAATAAAATGCCTTGGAGTTGCTAAAAAAACCCCACTAACAGCTCATCAGGCACATAGGCTGATATTCCTCTGACATTTTATTCCTGTCTCCCTTTGTAAATCAGCACACTCTCAAATTAAATTAGACCTGAAAGTCTCCCAGTCTGAGAAGTGAAGAGAGCACAAATGCTCCAGGATCAGGATGTCTCTCTCCTGCTGAGAAAAAGACCCAGAGAAGCATATGGAGGGTGCACTCTTGTTGAAAGCCAAAACTCAGCCTCCTCATTTTCCATATTTGTTTCAAAGATTTTCCCAATCTATACTACTGCAAATATTTCTTTCCAACAGAAACTCCAGCTTGAGGGCGTGTGTGAAAAGATGATATAATGTTTCACAGGTGTTAGCAAAATAATTTTACAGATGACATTGGTAGGAAATCAAATGTTTCTTTGATGTTTTGATGAGTCCCTATCTCCATATTTTTTTCCAGCAGAGATAGGACTCTCATTATTTCAGTATCACCCATCTGGATTTTAAAACACGGAGTTTAACATTTTATAACCTTTCCATGAAAAAAAATAAAAGAGGAGCTGAAAAAAGAGAGCCTGATCTCCTTTGTGAAAGATCTCAAGGAACAAATCAGAGGCACAGTCATCTAAATCATGGAGAGGGGAGGAGAGGAGTGTTACCACAGGGGCCCTTCCTAAAGGCCTCCCAAAACAATCTGAGCTCTTCAGACAAACAACATGCAGTGAGACAAGGGCTAAGTTCCCAACTACTTGCAAATTTCATATTGAGTCATAATTAGCTGCAATATATATATATACACTTCACTTTAAACCAGCTATGAAGAGATGAGTGCCAGGAACTGCCACCTGCTCCCTAAGCCATAATTAACTGCCTGATTACAAAATACATATATATTTATCTAATTAGTTTTAATGGCCTTGCTTTAGCTGGCTCTGCTCCAAAAATCAGGTGGAAAAGCACATCCTACTGATTGATGGAGAGAGGCTAGATGTGGTATTTTTGGGGTCCCCTGGATGGAGGGAGGAAATTATAAATATGACTCCATGTTCTTAGAAGGCTAATTTAATATTTTATAATATTATATTATATTAAAGAATACTATACTAAAACTATACTAAAGAAGTGAGAAAGGATACTTACAGAAGCTTAACAAGATATTAATTAAAAACCCGTGACTCTCTCCAGAGTCCCAACACAGCTGGACCCTGATTGGCCATTAAGTAAAAACAATTCACATGAAACCAATCAAACAATCATCTGTTGGATAAACACTCTCCAAACCACATTCCAAATCAGCCAAACACAGGAGAAACAAATTAGATAATATTGTTTTCCTTTTTCTCTGAGGGTTCTCAGCTTCCCAGGAGAAGAATCCTCGGCAAAGAGAATTTTTTAGGAAATATGATAGTGACAGCTAGAGACATGAGCAGTTCTCTCCTCCAGAGGCCAGCATGGCTCTAGTGGGAGGCCAAGAAGGGTAAGAAGGGACACTCAAAGCAGAGAGCTGCTGGAAGGTTTAACAGGACAACACCCAGGGCATTGCTAAGCCAGCCCCTCTCTGCCTGTGCCACTATCCAAAGCTTGTCCTGCGTCTCGTGGTACTGTGGGTGAGGATCACATGTGAGGAACCAGGAAGATGAGTGCACAGACAGGAGTAACTGTGCCCCACCATGAGGGGACACCAACCAAATGCTGCTTCTTCAAACAGAGATCACTGATTATTTGAGCTCATATAATTCTACTGGCAGCATGGTCCAAAAAGACTTTCTATGGTGATTGGGATACTTTGCTAATTAATTCAGGAAGAAAAAATAAATTCTCTTAACATGTATTTTTTCCCACTTCTCTCTGCAGTATAACCAGTGTTGCATTCACTGTTAGTTTCTGGGTGAGCAACATTAAGACTTTGCCACAGGTCAGAGTCTATCATAAATTCCACATTTTGATTGCAACTCCAACACTTCCTGGAGCATAAATACATTTAGGGCCAGATTTTAAAAGCATTTCAGATGCCAAAGGGTACATTTGACATCGATTTCCAGGGAAGCCAGGAATCCAAATGCATCAAAATCCAGTCATTCAGGCCAGCCCCAGTGAATCACTCTCTGTTTCCAAGGGCTCCAGACTAGCCCAATTTTGACTTCA